GCTTCCAAAAATTGCCACTAGCCAGAGAACAAATGCTCAAAACACGTGCCTGAAAAGGACAATTCAGAGCCATAGCATAACTTAGTATGTAACATTATATGCCAGTGACTATGCTATGTCCTTTGTATATATAATCTCATTTAATCATTACAACTCAATAAATGTCATTATTCCATTTACAGGTTAAAAACAGAAGAGAACAAATTACTGGCAAGACCAAGTATGATATACTGAATCTGTTGAACAATTCAAAAGAGCAAACTGTAAATTCGAGAGAGAACACCATGAAATGAGTGCACCAAGTCAGATTAACTGCAGAGAAGCTCTTTCTCCCCACACCCCTCTCTGTCCATGGCTAAGAATCAACCTAAGACCCCAGAAAGGGTAGGCAAGTGCTCTACTACTAAATTACATTCCTATCCCAAGAAAAAACATCTACTCAGCCACACTTGCCCTATAGAAATTTCAGGGTCATAGTTTTAAGATTTTTTTCAAAAAAAGGGGGAAATATTTTCTTTGTATATAATCTCTTAATATTTCAGTAGTGTCAAGTTGCTTAAACAGTAGTATTCAGTTCAAACCAAATAAGGCTGTAAGTTTGCTTCTCTGATCCATAAGATGTTGGAAATTCAAGCGTGGTGGCGCACGCCTTTAATCTCAGCACTCGGGAGGCAGAGGCAGGCGGATCTCTGTGAGTTTGAGGCCAGCCTGGTTTCCAGAGTGAGTGCCAGGATAGGCTCCAAAGCTACACAGAGAAACCCTGTCTCGAAAAACCAAAAAAAAAAGATGCTAGAAATTCAGAAGTAAGAGCTCTGAACTTGAGATACATGATTAGGGAATCCTAAAGCATAAATGATAGTAACACCAGGAATAGTGTGTGCTGGAATAACAACCAGTGAGGTGGGTGGTACAGGGATCTTAGGCCCAGACAACAAAATCATTTAGGAAGCCAAGGCAGGAAGATAAAAGTATGAGGCCATCCTGAGTTACATAATGATAGGCTTGAAAATACAAAAATAATATGATTTTGTTAAAAACAATGTGAAAAGCTGGACAGTGGTGGGGCACATCTTTAACCCCAGCACTCTCAAGGCAGAGGTGGGAGGAGTTCTGTAAATTCAAAGCCACCATGGTCTGCAGAGGGAGTTCCAGGACAGCCAAGGATACACAGTGAAACCATCTTGAAAAAAAACAAGCAAACAAAAAATGGAAAAATGTATTACCAAGTAAATACTCTTAGCAGCTTTCCAGAGTTATTAGAAATGAATAGACATGTAAAGCTGTTTGATTACATTTAAAATCCAAGTATTTGAAATTTTACACATCCAAAATATGATGCAAACTTCAAATTTGTGAATGCTTCTTTTTTTTTTTTTTTTTTTTTTGGTTTTTCGAGACAGGGTTTCTCTGTGGCTTTGGAGGCTGTCCTGGAACTAGCTCTAGTAGACCAGGCTGGTCTCGACCTCACAGAGATCCGCCTGCCTCTGCCTCCCAAGTGCTGGGATTAAAGGCGAGCGCCACCTATGCCCGGCTCGTGAATGCTTATTTCTATAACTGAAAAGTAGTTTGTTTTTTTGTGGGGTTTTTTGTTTGTTTTTGTTTTGCTTTGGTTTTTGAAGAGTGGTTTTTTTCTGTGCAGCCTTGGCTGTCCTGGAACTCATTCTGTAGACCAAACTGGCCTTTAACTCACAGAGATCTGCCCACTTCTGCCTCAAGTGCTGAGGCTAAAGGCACGCACCACCACCACCCAGCTGAGAAAGATCTTTTAAAATCTACATTTATTTTTGTCTGTGTTTTTATTTGTTCTACCTTGGCTTACTCTCTGCCAGCTCAGCGCCTCTCCTACCTGCATATCTGCAAAACTCGTAGCAGAGTTTTGCAATTAGCAAAACAAGAAGACCTTTTAAAAATATTGTATATGCATGGTGCCTCAACATACATATGGAGGTAAGAGGTCAACTGTTCTCTTTCCATCATGTAGGTCCTGGAGATTGAACTCCATCATTAGGCTTGCCAGCAAGTGTCTTTACCAGCAGTACCATCTTACTGGCCCCTTAAAAAATATTTTAATTGAAGTCAAATTTCTAATTTTTGACATCCATATTTTAGGACCAAATGACTATTCTTTGACATCTACACTAGCATAGTGAGTATGTTGTTTTTTGGTTTTGCTTTTGTTTTTTTTATCACTGTGTTTACCACACAGATGTCTCCAGTATATGAGGCACATAGATCACTTGTATAAAACTAAAATAACACAGTATATATATCTACCAGGTATAAAGCTTTACAGAAGTTATACAAAGTGAAATGTTTTGTATTTTAAAAACTGCCCCTTTCCCCAAAATTTTTTTTACACGTAACTAACTCCAAAAATGAAAATTGCTCTTTACAGTTTTTAGTTTAAGTGAATTTTATTTAACATTAATTCTATGACAAAGATCTAAGAATGCTAGAATTGCATTAGAAACTGTCAAAGCCACACTGTCAAAGCCACACTATCCTATTATGAGACTTAAATGTTAAGGAGAGTACAATTCTCTACTGAAAATTCTAATAGGACTAGCTCTTTCAACACTGAAACGTGTCAAATTAAGTTTGAGTCTGAAAATCCAGTTCTTGGGCATTCCAAGGAATGACTTAAAAAAACACGTGCTTTTTTTTTTTTTTTTTTTGTCACCCGTTGTAACATAAACTGCATTCTCAAACAAAGGAGATGGGCATTTCTGTTGTTTACATACCTTCATTTTTGTAAAGCTAAAATTTTGAAAACGGTGCCTAGGGTGTTGGGAAATCCCAGCATTTAGGAGACAGAAGCAGGCGGAGCTTTCTGAGTTCGAGGCCAGCCTGGTCTACAAAGCTAAGTTCCAGGACAGCCAAGGCTATTACACAAGAAACCCTGTCTCTAAATACCTCTAAACCCCCGCCAAAAATCTTAAAACAGTGGAAATAGCCATAACCCTTCTTTTAAAATGCCACCTGGAAGTATAGTTTAACCTACCACCTTTGTCATGCCTCGTTTTCCTTTTTAAGTAAAAATGAAAACACTGCGCGGCTACCATTAACATTTTTGAAATATGAAGGAAATTTTAAAGAGTTTGCAATTTTAAATCCAAATGTCCGCTCTCTACAAGCACTTCTCTAGCCAGCCTCGCATTTCTGGGTCAAGCTCGGAGACAGCAGGGCGCGCATTCTTTGAAGAAACGCTGCCTCTAGCCTAGAGTACAAAGGCAATCCCTCCCTTTGACCCTTTTCTCGTTACTCTGCAGATGGAGGACCAACAAACAGAAAATCCTTTCGATGGGCACACATCCTTCTCAGCCCTCAGGCCCACCCCAGGCAAGGCCACGAGGCCACGCGGTGTTCTCGGGGCGCCAGGCCCGAGCGGGTCAGGAAGGAAAGGCAAGGAGGAAGAGGTTCTTCAAGGCAAGCGTGGGGGCTCGGACTCCGGAACAAAGCGCCGGCCCAGAAAGACACAGCGGCCCCGCGACGCACACTCACGGGGCTCCGGGCGCTACGCAAAAGTCCCGCAGCGCGCCAGCCCGCCACCCTTACGCCACTGGCTTGGCCCCAGAGCTTTCGCGAATATGGCTTTGCGCACT